AGACGATTCACGTCTCGACGAAAACTGTCAGGTAAACTTACAGGCTGGATAAGTGGAGGTCAGTTCCGGTTTGTGGTAGTACAAGGGAAGAAGCAGCAAACTTTCCTCTACTTGACGTGCTGTAGGAACTTGGGCGATATTCTAACACTTACCTTACGATTGGTGATAGAAGTGGCTCCATGTATTGCGCCAATGGATGTTTGCTCTGACTGCATGCTGCCTGCATTTCAGCCACATCAATGTCAACCCAGTTGTACGGGAAGTCCGATGAAGGCTTTCGACATTCTCTGGGGAATTATTAGTGGCTTACAAGTTGTTCACCTTTTAGCCTTCTTAGAGCCCATTTGCACTGTATCACCGACCGCATTAGTCTCCCCAGGCGTATTGAAACTAGTCAGCAGTTTCAATAGTTTTTCAGCTTCTTCAAGGGATGCTGAAACGAACGTTACATTAAATTAAGACCTACAACACTCACGCAGTTCCTTCCACTTCATCAAACACCAATCTTGACTATCGAAATCGTCATCCATCGGTCGTTGTATTTTAGCTCCTGAATTGTACATGCACAATCCATTTCTAATCATCGACGAGCTGTGAACGAGGCATAATAAGTCTTCCGATGATCGGATCAAGATATATTTCTTATTCTGTGAGTCCTGTATAAATGGCAATTATTTAATTATAAAATACTTTACCTTAATAGTGACGACCATAGGTTAAACAGTTTATGAAGCTACCACTTAAACATGGGCACTGGATAATGTATGGCTTAAAGGGATTATAATCTCGTAATTTGGTTTCCGAACTGCAATACACTTGCAGGTGATCGTCGTCATAGGTATCCAGAATGATTCATGGCTCACTGTTGAACATATATATATATATATATATATATATATATATATATATATATATATATATATATATTACCGGAGGGAAAAGAAACGACGAAGTTATCCTGGAAGTCCTTATACGTCCCAAAGCGTAGTAACCCAGTTTCATCCACTTCTACTATCCTTCCAGGCTTCCCTTTACTAATGGCAACATTGCCAGGTACGTATTTAGAGAAATTTGTACTGAGACACTGTACTTTCTCATTACCGAAGTTGAATATGCCTTCTAATTCATGCTTGTTATGTTTACAAGTTTGGTTAATCTTCCCTTTGAAGAACATTTTGTCAGCATAACGCTCTGCAGCTTGTTTGGCTGTTGCGTAGCCTGAATGAATTGAAGATCTAATAGTCCGCATATAAGATTCAAAAGGGAAGGCGTTAAATTGTTCTAAAGTCCCGTACAGTTCCACATAGTTAGCAATATGCTTCAATGAGTGCATATTGTATGCAAGGTGTTCACTGCCGTAACAACGTTTGTATTCAAGAAGGAAGTTGTTCAAGTCATTCTTAGCCCCTTCCAAATAAAGCCAGTACAACCTAGGATTGAACACAAGTAAACGGCCAATGACAACGTACAGAAAATTAGATATTGCGGAAGAGGCAGAAGACCTTTTAGAATCACCGGTCCTAAGTAAAGTAGAAAAAGGCGGCACTCTGTTGCCTTTCATGAGGATGCTTCTGTTAATGAGCGACATTTACGCTGGAAGTCCATCAGCACACGCTCCCGGCATCCCAGTAAATAATCATTGATATCACTAAAAACCTTAGCGTTCATCTTACCTTCTCGAAATCAACTCCTTAACAACACCGAGGTAAATAAGATGCATGGGTCCCAAAGGGAAGGACCTAATCACATCCAGTGGTAAGCCCTCAAAGGAACTTCTTCCCCGACGATGTCCGTCGTCGGCTCGAGCACGAAAAGAGGCATGAGTTCTAAGTTGGAACTCCCCGTTAGGGTATGACGTCCTACCATCTAAACGGCAGGCAACAACTAAGCACCTGTCGCAACCTTTTGATCCGCTGTGACCTATAATGTTTTAAATCTGGGCGTGCAGGAGCATCACAAACGACTGTAGTAACTCGAATTTTTATAAAAGTATTTGTGTCTTCAACAAACAATCCATTACTCGGTAGTTGCTCATGTTCAGTCACTAAATCATGAGCCACTTCGTTGAAATCAGTGGGTTTCTTGAAACCTCCATACACCCCTACTAAGAACACTTCACTTAAACGAGGTTTATTGATTCTACCAAGGAATGGCCACAGCTACTGACTTGAACTCCTAGCTATGGACAACCCATCGTAATTGAGCTGTACTTCAACATCAATTGTCGACTGATATTCATTCCATCCGACTAGGATACGCTTTAAATTGTATTTTAAACCGATGTGGTAATAAACACCTTTTACTAGTAATCACGGTTCACAGTTACTACTCCCTCTCATCAATCCACGGATACTAGTTGGCACGTTAAGATAAATCTGATTCATAAAGACCAGCATTCTATCTGCATCAGAAGCACTCATGTTGAGATTGAGCAACATTTCTATGAACATTTGCCGGGCACGCCCACGCTCTGACGTTGGCATGATTAAGGTGTCCTTACAGGCTTCATTTGAGGACATTCCAGGTTCAACAACACGACATGACGAGGCCACACGGTCAGGCACATACTCCGCCGCACCTTGTACATATTAATTTACGAATAGGATATTGCCAGCTGCTGCTGCTTGAGGCATCAAAGGACCCAACTCAGGTACGCCAAACTTCGCAAAAAATGAATTCAATCAACCTTTTACGACGTCGATAAAAAGTTGAACGGTGATAGTTTACCGGTAAAGGCATTCTACCGGAGGACACCCTTCTTCTTTTATTAACCGTTGTCGATATATAACATGAAACATCGTTCTTAGTAGTACTAGATTGCTTAAGGATGCACAGTTGTCACTTAGGAACAAAACAGCAACCTACCTCCATGGTGTACGCACCAGAGTAATGGCGACCATCTTTCTCATAACAGCTAAACAATGGAGTTGATTTAGTACGTCGACACATTTACTTCTATTTATTTATGAATCCGAAGGAATACTTTAATAAGAAATTTAATAAATAAGGTATTTAGCATAACTTACGTAATCACGTGGACTGCGCTACACATATCAGTTAATTTTTCCACACTACCCACTTTATTTCAGCACTCACCCAATTATTTCCGTACTCTTCGCCTTGTTTCAGCGGGGCAGGGAAATATTTGGTAAAAAATTCCTACCCCTTACTTATCGATCGGAATATTATGGCTGGTCACCCCATTATTTAGGCATTCGCCCGCATTACTTAAGCATTATGGCGTGACTGGGAACCGCGGACTTCTCGTATCAGTGGTTGTTACACCGGAATAGACGAACAGACACCGTTTTAGCCCTCCGAAACAGCTGTAAAGCTCTCCTGACACGATACTGGCGCTCTTCGAGCCGGGTCACAAATTAGACGTGAAGAACGAACTGTCATCCTTCATATTTATTCTTCACTGTCACAATTATTACCTCCATATTTCCGTTTGTGACTTCCGCATACTAACTAAAATACCTTCTTTCATACTGCCGCAATATCAGCGCAGGATAATCAAGTTAGTGTGTGTCTTAGACTCAAATAAGGTTGCTGAGAAGGGTTTGTACAAAATGTTTCTCCTAAATGGTGCCAAGCGCTAGAAATGGCAATCAAGATGTCATTTATTTAAATGCATATGTGAACTCTACTACACAATATATGTGTATAATATAACAGAGTGAAGCTTGCTGAAACACATGCTTTATGTCGGAATGAACATACAGAAAAGTCGATGCTATCTATGTTTCATTATGCAAGTTTATCAGCATCTGTTGTTATGATACCCGTTGCACAAGAGGTGGTTGTCGTGCCTATATGGATAATGCCTCGGAGTTTGAAGCGATGGGTACTGTCTTCACTCATCAGTGGGGACACCACTCACTGAGAAGCAAGTTCCCCAAATAGGACTAAACGCGTCCTGAATTCCTCTGCTAGTCACCACGATCAATATTTCATGAGCATCTGGTAAAAAAGTTGCAACGAGAGGCACTTGTGCACCGAAGTGAAGCTAAGACGCATAAGACGATGACTCGACAGTTTCAACCTTCAGGTTTGCACACGTGTCGCCGAAGTGCCACGTTCACCGATCCGGTTCCCACAAACAGTAATCTGTTTAAAGCTAAACGTTCGTAGTTCACAGAGATTATCAGTATCAGTGACCTAAATGTGACAAGCAAATTTAGGTGTCAACCGGAAAATACCCTGAGATGATTGCAGCAACCTACAAGGTTGCTTGTTCATTATTAAGAAAGGTTAGAAAAGTCCAAAAGGTGGGTATGCAGTGAAGACATCGGTGTTAATCTTAGTCTTTATAGACAACTATAAAAGCTTCTGACAATTTGTGAATTAAGCATAGGTGTACCAGTTGATAATGAATCTCCTTGATCAGGATAGTGCATAGTTCATACCCCGCAGACACTAACACAATGTACGACGACAAGAAAAAAAACAGAAAAAATCATCTTAGTTGACTAAGGCTCACAACTTCATCAACCGATTTCTCTGTCTTCCCCAGTACCCTTTATCTGCTTGACCTCAACATTGCTCACACATTAATTCCACCAAAACCCGTGCAATACTACAAAGTGATCTGTGATCAACAGCCTGTAATCGCCTCACGCTGATAGTTAGTTACAGTTAAAAATAAAGTGGAGTTATTAACACACATTTCATCGTATTGTTCTTTAAACATTAAACGTTCAATACAAAATGCACGTATAAAATACTAATTTTTATTAATCGAGAAGAATAAGAAAGGAAACAAAGAGTATCCAAGTATCGTAAAATCGCTGCCGTTATAATAATGTAGACGAAAACAGAATTAATCCATTAGGATAAAAAAAAATTCAGAACATTTCACAAAAAAGGAATTATTCAAAGATAACAAATTGAAAATATTCAACTCATAAGAATAATTATTATTTTATTTATATCATTATTACATAAAATCATTGGTAAATTGTGTGTATACAATATAATCGATGACTAGTAAATACAATTCATTGCCTTTTAAATATACTTAAAAGACCATCACAAACAGCTTTGGCATCGCCTAACAGCATATCAGTATTATCTTTAAAGAATACAGGATTATCCACTGCAGCATAACCAACACCCAATGTACGTTTGACGACAATAACCTTTAAAGTAGAAATAAAATTTCATATATTTAAAAAATTTATACTACTGTCACATTCACTTATGATTAATTAATCTAAAATTGTGGATTATAAAAAAAATAATAACCATGTAGAAAGGAAGACCTATATTTCAACAGTTTAACGATTACGTGACAGAATTACTGAGCTTTAAACAGATATACTAATGGGGACATTTGTTTCCTGTTGCCCTATTCCAGAAAGTTTTGTTGGATAATGACAAAACGTAGTCAGTTGTAGCGTAAGTAGCTACAGTAAGATTCGGATATGGGTGAGATGTACTGTCGGCTGAATAGGTATGACGGTAGTAAAGTGGATGATCACGAGTCTGCGAGTATAAGAAAAAAGAGGGTTTAGATCAGCTTCAAAAACATCTCTACATTACGGCGGTCTGCTTGTATCTTGGGCTTATCAAAATTATTCACCAAACATTTTTCACCAAATTATTTCCTTTCAATTTGTTTTAATCATATAAATATATCCTTTGAACGTATCATGTACTCTTGCACATTTTTAAATTGTCAACTCTCCGTTTCTCGAGTCAGCAACAAAGCAGAGAAAAAATGTTACCTTATATAGAAATGGACGTTACAGTGTAGAAAAGTACATCATATTTCCATTCATCGGATGGCTAGCTTGAGTTTCAAGCTTTGGTACCAGTTGGATGAACCTCCACTACCAAAATTATGCTTGCATTTCTGTTGATTCCTCATTATGGACCAGATGTCCATGCATAACTAGCTGACTATTTCACATTATTGCCTTCAATACTGTTATTATTAAAATCATTCAGATCCAGTAACTATTTCGTCTGAAAGTATTGTTCTGGGAGTGAATTTGTTGAAAAATTACATGCTGATAATTCTACAATGTCATACATATTGTTTGGAATAAAGCGATTATCACTATTATTGAAGTATTCAGCTACAAGCAAAATAGGTTTCCTACCTTGATTTGAGTTAATTCAAGTTAAAAATTTTAAACTTCGAAAACACTGAATTGGACCACTTCCAAGCATGCACTGCGATTTGCGTCAGGCACCTCAATACAAAGTAACCTTCCACAATGTAGGCTATCGGAAAGTGTCAATCACCCTTACAACTCACGTTCCGTCAGATAATACACCTGATATGGTTTGGAATTGATATCATAGTGGGACAGATACACTCACACATTGCCTTGACCTCAACCGAAATACCGAATTTTATTGATGTCTTATTCCTTCTTATTCTTTTTTTTTACGACTTTCCATCACTTTTAATTATCTTTTTCCGCATTTTTTTTTATCTTGGTGCCTCTGCGTTTATTGTATTGGTTTGAGATGCAAACGAGATGAGAAGGTATCACATTGAAGTGCTTGGAATTTGCGAAAGCAGATGGAATGGGAGTGGACTCTCCAAACTGTCAACTGAAGAGGAGTCAATAATCTACTCCGATATTGTCACTCAAACGACAACCATGAGCACATTGAGTTATGGAGTGGCTATCATGATGTCCCCAAAAGCATCGAAGGCTCTCATGCAGTGGGAACAAATCTCCTGGAGGATCATGACAGCAAGATTCAACTCAAAAGGAAGGAAGGTCACAATCATACAATGCTATGCATCTAGAAATAATACAGAGCAAGAGAAAAAGGAGGAATTGTACAGACAACTGCAATCAACACTGGACAAGACCTCAGTTGGCGATATCAAAATTCTAATGGGCGACATGAATGCCAAACTGGGAGGGGACAACACACGAAGAGAACTAACCATGGGTCGAGAGGCGCTCGGTGAGGTGATGAATGAGAATGGAGAATCGTTTGCAGAATTCTGTGCATTCAACGATTTGGTGATTACAATGAGGCAGTGTGTTCAAGCACAAAGATATCCACAAAGCGACATGGATTTCACCAGACAACAGATGGACACACTAAAAATCAAATCGACTTTATCTCAATCTCAAGAAAATGGAGACGCAGTCTACTTGACACAAGGGCAAGAAGAGGAGCAGATGTAGGTTCACACCACTCAATCTAGTGCAAGGAACCTACCTTCCAAATCAAGTTGAAAGCCTTCAAGGAAGCTGGTGATAGACCTCAATTCAAGTACAACACTCGGAAACTGAAGGATGAAACTACAAAGGAGATCTTCAAGGCAGCCATCAAGACAAAATGGGAGACATCGAGCAACATCCCTGAAGAAACCTGTGTGGAAGAACACTGAAACTCTTTGAAAGCTATGTGGAAAGAAACCTGCACAACAGTATTAGGAAGGAAGAAGAAAGAAGACAAGGAATGGATCTCGACGGATACCTGGAAGCTGATAGAGGAGAGGAGGATGGTGATGCAGAAGATAAACCAGTGCAAGGATGCTCAACGACAAGAGGAACTGAGCACAATGTATAAAACACTGAACAAAGAAGTGAAGAAGAGTGCACGCAAAGACAAACGACACTTCTACGAAACACTGGCAAGTGAAGTAGAACAGGCTGCAGGTAAGAGAGACAGAGACCTGATGACATTGTATCAAATAACCAGGTTGCTATCAGGGAAGAGACCAACACAGATGAAACCAATAAAAGATGATGTCGGAAATTTAATTACGAAAGAAGAGAAACAGAGGAAACAATGGGCCGACCACTTCAAGAAGCTCTTGAATCGACCACCATCTGCACTTCGTCCAGAAATACCACCTGCAGCCGCTGAATTACAAGTGAACATTAATCCCCCAACGAAAATGGAAGTCCTGAACGCCATAAAGCTACTGAAATGCGGGAAAGCAGCAGGACCAGATGGAATACCGCCAGAAGCACTGAGAACAGATGCAGAGACAACAGCGGACATACTCACACCACTATTGCAGAAGGTGTGGAAGGAAGAGAAGGTACCTGCCTATTGATTGGAAGAAGGGTTACCTTGTCAAACTGCCGAAGAAAGGAGACCTCAGTGTTTGCAAGAACTGGCGCGGAATCACTCTCCTGTCCACCCAAAGCAAGCAAAATATTAAGCCGCATCATCCTGGAGAGGCTTAAAGACGCACTGGATTCAAAACTACGACCGGAACAGGCAGGCTTCAGGAAGTACAAATCACGTGCAGACCAAATTGCAACGCTTCGCATCATCATAGAACAGAGCATAGAATGGCAATCAGCTCTCTACCTCAACTTCATCGACTTTGAGAAGGCCTTTGACAGTGTCGACCTAGAAGTAATTTAGAAACTGCTTCATTACTACGGAGTACCACAAACCTTTATCCGCCTCATTCAACAACTATATGAAGATGCCACATGCCAAGTAATCCACAATGGGAAGCTCAGTGATGCTTTTGAAGTGAAGACAGGAGTGAAACAAGGTTGCCTACTATCCCCCATGATATTCCTGATTGTGGTCGACTGGATCATGCAGCAAACAGTAGGCAGCGAGAAGAGGGGGATACGCTGGACGACGGAAAAGAACCTAGAAGACTTGGATTTCGCCGATGACTTGTGCCTAATGTCACATAAACTTGAAGATCTACAGGCAAAAACTAACAAGTTGATAGAAGAGGCAGCGAAGACGGGACTTCAAGTGAATATAGAGAAGACAGAGGTGATGAAGATACCGCACCACCACCATCAACAACAACAACAAACTCCAGTCACCATCAACGGGAGAAACTTAAAGGAAGTAACCTCCTTCACTTATCTAGGAAGCACTGTTCCAACTACAGGCGGGACGGACGAGGACGTCAAAGTCAGAATCGGAAAGGCAAGACAGGCGTTCATTTTCCTGAAACCAGTGTGGAGATCTTCTGCACTCAGCATGTGGAACAAGATACGGATTTTCAACACCAACGTCAAGTCAGTGCTCTTGTATGGTTCAGAGACTTGGCGCGTCACGAAAGGGATTTCCAATAAACTACAGACATTCATCAACAACTGCTTACGCTCGCTACTGAAGATCAGATGGCCAGAAAGAATAAGCAACAAGGAACTCTGGGAACGAACCAACCAAGAACCCATCGCTCAACAAATATGCAGGAGGAAGTGGAGATGGATTGGCCATGCACTGAGAAGGCCGACTGAGGACATCAGGCGTCAGGCCAGTTGCTCGAGTGGAATCCCCATGGGAAGCGACGAGTTGGACGTCCGAGGGTGACATGGAGGAGATCGTGCGAGGAGGAAATGAGAGCTTGTGGGCTGTCGTGGAACCAGGTTCAAAAGATCTCAGAGAACAGAATTCACTGGAGACGTGCTACTGAAGCCCTATGTTCCACTAGGAACCCAAGGGACTAATAATAATAATAATAATAATAATAATAATAATAATAAATAGCAAAGAAGTCATTGGTTAGCTAGATTCATGGTTGTGATTCAATCCAATTGTACGGAAGACAATATAGAACATCGATCACCATATTCATTGACCTATCAACACTCAGGAAAAAATTTGATTTTACTTAAAGTACATCAAATACTTTATTTATTTGACAAACCTTTTTAGCTAACCAAACACGTAGGACAGGCATACCAGCAATCACTGAGTTCGGATCTTCTTCAGCAGCTGAATTAACTGTATCATTTGCTCCAATCACTAGAACCAAATCAGTTTTAGGAAAATCAGCATTAATTTCATCCATTTCATAAACAATATCATATGGAACTCCAGCTTCAGCTAATAAAACATTCAACTGTCCAGGCATTCGGCCTAAAATATAAATTTAAGGTGAATATATCTGATTTCAATGTAACTATTTAATAAGGAGATCAAAACAAGAGAAATGAAGTGTTGCTGAGTCGTCAGCTAATGTTTTTCTCCTCCTCCTCCTTCTTTTCCGTTCCAGATTCTAGTGGCCATCACTACACTCGCACCCCTCTATGTGCCCCCGTCCAACAGCGTACCTACATACAGGCTAGATGAAAACGTATCAACAGCTAGTCGTTACGTTATGGAACTTCTTAAGTTTATTTTAACCCTAATCTAAAAACACTGCACATAATGTAAAACAAAACAATACTATTATTCATTTGTCTATCGTTTGAGTACCACTTTTATGATTTATGTAACAACAAAATGAGATTAAACCAATCACTTGTTGATAACAAAAAGGTAATGTAGATTGAATACACCGCTGTAATAGCACCTTTTTTGGCCGCATGTAATCAATAGGTATTTTTATAACAACTATTAGAACTGTAGGTTTTAGAGGTAAAGTCTGAGGTGTAATTCCACGATATGGAAATAAATAAACCTTCATGGTGAGATAAAAGCTGACAGTATTGGACAACGTTTTCAGTAAAGTTATAGCAAACGAAAATAATTTTGGACAGCAACGGTTTTAACAGTAAACCACAGAAGAATGATGCCTTTGGTTAATTGACTTAAAAAGACATTACTATTGATAGATTGTGAAATTTTTATTGAAATGCCTTACCTGCAACAGGGTGTATAGCAAAGCGGATATGTTTCCCTCGTTTTCTTAATTCTGTGGCCAACTCTGCTAAGGGATATTGGGCTTTCGCAACACATAAACCATAACCAGGTGTAATGATGATTTGTTTACTGTCTTCAAGGTAATTGGCAACTGTTGGCACATCCGTTTCACGATGAGTACCTATAAATAAATTATTTAGTTAAGAAAATGATATCATTTAATAACTCACATCAATTTATATGGATATTTAGAAATCGCAAACTCTAAGAATATAGCCTGTATGTCAGTACAATAGATCAGTGATAGCATCAATGATAAATTCATGATGCTGAAAATGTCAGTGACTTATTACAGTGATCCACAGTGACTGTAAACGTGTAAGTCTGTGAGATAAACAAGATAGAAATGGACGTTAAACAGACAAAAAACTACTACCATTTCATGATACAAACTAAGAACGGTGTACTGACTGATCACACATTATCTAGTAGTAGGAGATACTACAGAATGTTTGAGTAGCTGAATATACAACATCTGTACTATCTGTAACTCAAAAATATATTGTTCAATCCGCTAATCAGAGGTGCTGGTTTTGTTCTAATCAGCCTAACAATAATGCTAAATTGTGTGACTGTGATTCAAGACTTTTCAGCTGTTTACTCACTGGTTGACATATTTCACATGTTGAAGGTGCAAACAAAGTGTACGTAGCCTTGTGGCTATAGCATGTGTTTACCTGAATGAAGTGTTTTCTAAGTGAATTATACACTGATAGTCTGTTATGATCTAATCATTAAATGCCCAAATTCATCAGTTAATAATATAGATACATTTGGAATGAAATTCTCATTGTCATGTCATATTGAGACACTGGAAAAACTTGAAAACAAACTGTTTCTTAATTTCATACAATTAATTCCCTTTATAAATTTTTGTAAAGCAAGAAAAACCCACAAGATCAGTTGCGTGCAGACTCTATTCAGAAGAGAGAGAACACACTGCACTGCACTACAACAACTTCACGGAGAAACGAAGAAAATTACCTGATGTCCATCCTAAAAAGAAGAGCTATCCATGAAACTTTATCAAAAGATGCCTATCCTGTACATCATCAACTACAAAGACATCGACAGAAATCAATAAACGAATCGTCCTACCATACATAAAGAATGTATATCAGAAATCACGACAAGATTGCTGAAGCCACTTGGAATTGAAATGCCTCATAAACCAACAAATTCCCTTCAAACACTATTATGCAGATCAAAGAATGCAACAACCAAAGAAGACAAACTGAATATCATTTACAAAATCAACTGCAATAATTGTAGTCAAAGTGGTCGCCCTCTTCGCCTTTGTCTACATGAACACCAATTGGTTATTAAACGTCACGACATTTCATCACTCATTTCAATGAACGTGGATAATTATGGACATGAATTCAATTTCGACAGAGGAAACACAAAAAATATCAGAGAATTCCTAGAAGTTTGGCATTCAGGTCAGTCAGTCAGCAATCAACAGATGTATAGACATAGACCAAATCTATCAACCAATAAGAAAGATGATAAAACGACAGAAAGGTCAGAGGTCAAGCAGAGGGACAGCCAACAGGAAACTCTATACAGTCAACGACACAACAATCAAAGGAAACAACCAACCATAGACCACTTCATCAGAGCAAGCTACAAAATCACTCACGGAAAGCTACTGACAGTTCACTTCATACTGAAGTTAGTGCTGATGATGTCGACTAGAACGACGATGAAAGCTTCACGATTAAACAACCCAGCTCAGAGAACACAATACAACCAAGACCATCCACCTGAGCTACAAATATTCTCCACTATTTCAAGAACAATAAAGATTATGGGATGAATCAGATTCATTTTGTGTCCTCAAAATCTTCCACATACGCACTAAATTTTAAATTTTGTACACTAAGCTATCAGTGTTCATTTCATACATTTCAGCGGGAAACAACACCAAATACATCCTTTAAAACTAAACATCAACACATACATACACATAAGAACAGAGATGAATGATAAAGTTCACGGTCTAAACACCCAATACAGGGAACAAGTCACAACAAGTTAGACTTCTGAAACAATTAGTCCCTTTAGTGTTATTGCTTGTATTACTCCGTCGTTGATTAGACCGAATTGATCAGTCTCTGTTGGCATATGGACTCCTATGTGGATGCCTCGATATTGCCTGTTTTTAACTATGTTCAGCAGTGATGGGCAGTGATTCGCAGTGGAATCCAGGATGCGCATCTCGTCCTATTTGGGAAGGAGGAACATCCAGCTGACGAGTCCCAAATAGGACGAAATGCGCATCCTGGATTCCACTGCTAGCCACTGCCCATCATTACTAAACTAGTCCCTTTAATAAATTCGATAACGCTATTAGAAGACGAAGATTATCTGAAAAATGTGATGCATTTGCGCAATACATTTCGAACAATCTGCTCGATCACACATTTACTTGTCAAGTCAATTTATATATGAAAATTAAAGGTCAAATATAGTGAATATGAAAAGGTTGTGACACTAGTCTTGGTAATATATATATATGGCAATTATATACATACAGCGGGGGATTAAGTTTACGAATGGCTAACGCTTCGGCAAACTTCAGTATGTGCCCCTGATTATTCCTGTATAGTATCTTAAACGCTGTTTTCGGATTAACCCTGTGATTCATTTCAATAATGTTTTGCTATAGATGACGATGGATGTCTGTCACCTGCACTTATCAAAGTTTGTGTGTTAAACTGTTTTTCTAGCCATTTGGGGATGTGTTCACCCACCCTAGTCTGCATTGAACGATTACTCCTCCCTATGTATGTGAGCCCAGACACACCTTTTCATATTCACTATATTTGACCTTTAATTTTCATATATAAATTGACTTGACAAGTAAATGTGTGGTCAGATTGTTCGAAATGTATTGCGCAAATACATCACATTTTTAAGATAATCTTCGTCTTCTAATAACGTTATCGAAGTTAGACTTTACTGTATAAGGTGTATTTTTATTTTTATAATCCCGGCGTAGTATATTAGAACAAATAACAAAATAAACAAATATTTTGTATTATTCCACAACGTTTCGATCTTGTTAGGAAGATCCTTTTCAAGAGTATGAATCTGACATTAAGTTTTCAGGTTAATATTCAAGTTTTGGTACAGAAAGTGGTGACTTTTACAATCATTCAGTTACATAGTGATATGGAGCAAAGATAGATGTAATACAGGTGAGTGAATAAGCAACTCGGTCAGAGAGGTTTATTCGTTGTGCGAGTAAGTTGGAACAAAAATAGGGTGGGGAAATTTTTTTAGTTCGTCTATGAAAAGTACAATGGGGTTGTGAGACATCAAGGGTGAGAAAGGATAGATTACTAATTTGGAAGGATGACTATTTGAAGATCAGACAATATATGATTAATAAATAACAATAATGATAACGATAAGTGTACCCTTGATAACACTTGAAGTATGAGTGATAATAAAATGGATTATGTTATGGTTCATCGAATGTATATGACTCAGAAAGCAGCGTAAAATTGATGAAAACAGTAGATCAATCAAGAGCTATGTAATAGGACTAGACAAGCTGTTAAAATGCAACTATTTTTTCTTTTTCCTTGTGGTTAAGGCGATTAAGAGAAATAACACCGGAAACTATTCAAACAAGAGTGAATTCGGAATACATCATGTGGAGTGAAATTGTGTTCTACCTTCTCTTCAAATATTATTTACAACTGCCAAGGCGAGTCATTAATGTTGCCATATTAGTGGGATATCTAACTCATCTTTTCTGTTGACCGAAGAAGGATATGAACAGATGTGCAAAGCTTCTGCAATAGTCCGCTGTTTGTGAGAGAGAAAACCCTTTTGCAGAACTTTTGTCTGTTCGAATGCTATTTTATGACCTAAATACAGGGCATGAGCTGCAATAGCAGAGCTTTCTTCAAGTTTTTCTAGATCATTGGAATTTTTTGGTGGTTTTTTGGAACTTCGATCGTGTTCGGCTAGACGTGTTAGTACTTGACGTGATGTCTCTCCAATGTATGTGGCATCGCATTCACTACAGTCTGCTTTATAAGTTTTTTTTGTTCCGAATGAGGAATCGGATCTTTTAATTTACACAGGTCTGAGTGTAGTGTATTCGTCACCTTAAAGAATATTCTGATGTTGTTACTATTAAGGATACGTCTTATATCCTCTGAAGTAGATGTTCGATAAGGAAATACTATAGTACTTGTCCAATCGTTATCGCTTGGCTTTTTCGTATTTTTATTCGACAAACTTTTTTCGATCCTTTTTAATAGTTTTTCCGGATAGTTATTTTGTTTTAAGACTTCCCTACCCTATTTTTGTTCCAACTTACTCGCACAACGAATAAACCTCTCTGACCGAGTTGCTTATTCACTCACCTGTATTACATCTATCTTTGCTCCATATCACTATGTAACTGAATGATTGTAAAAGTCACCACTTTCTGTACCAAAACTTGAATATTAACCTGAAAACTTAATGTCAGATTCATACTCTTGAAAAGGATCTTCCTAACAAGATCGAAACGTTGTGGAATAATACAAAATATTTGTTGATTTTGTTATTTGTTCTAATATACTACGCCGGGATTATAAAAATAAAAATACACCTTATACAATGAATCATATTAACTCGGTGCCCAAGTTTTTTCAAACCATCCGGTCTATTGTTGGTCAGGATACCTTCAAAGTTAGACTTTAAATTCGATCAGTAAACACAAAGCAAACTACAACGTGATAGTAGTACAGGAATGTGATCACAGCTCAAGGAAATCTGATGGAAGAGGGAGAACAGAAACATGGTATACAAAGTATATGAATTGATGATAGACGAATGGAAAAGGATATGCTAACAAACAGGATAAAAACATAATGGGTTAGAGTAAATCGAAAATGATGGGAATATGAATAATATGTAAGACAATAAGATGGTAAATAAAGCTGTGTGAAAAGAACAACTCAGCAAGGCAATGCAAGGTGAACCACAAACTCCTTCTGTACACATAAGTCTGATTTCAGTCGACAGATCGCTGTTGCTTCTGCATAATGTAGCAATCTACGATTTCTTTGTCTATTGATTACCTTATAAGCTGTGTTTCAATCGACGGCATGACCT